TAAACGCTATAAAGAATGGGACCTGTCTACATTGGATTTTATCAACAAAAGGATAAAATTTTTGAGCACTGACGACATTTATGTTGTACTTGAATATCTTCATTATATATTCGCATATCTACATACAAAGGCAGAAAAGTATCGGATGTACGTGTCGGTATTGAAAATAATAATTCAGCTAACAGTAGAGGACATGGATTGTATTATACAAAAGTATGTGGATCGGCACTTTGATGACAATCCTTTAGAAAGTCTGTACGATGAAAAATGCTTCGTGGAATTCGTAGATAATTCTACACCCGGTGAACCTAACAAAGATACTGATTCGATTAGAACTCAAGAATCGCGTATTTTGTTAATCTTTATTTTGTTAAATCCGAAGGACGTTTTAAACAAATTCGTGTTGTACGAGATAGATGCAGGAGATTATTTCTCCAATGATCATATATTCCATACCAATGTGTCTTTAGTGCAATCGTATTACAGTCTATGGAGGGGACAGAACAATCTGTTAATGTACATACTGAAGGACATACTTTTCCAGCAGCGCTCAGCATTGCACATACGTTTTAAATATTTTCTGAATGATATGATAAACTATGAGGTGATATACAATGTTCTAAATAAAAAATCATTATGACTTTATATTTATTAAATTCGATCTTATGCATGCGTATCGTTCGTTATTCGTGCTATAATAAGTAAATTCTACAATGATTTATTATCGATTTATCAGAATAGGATTAATAAAAAAAATTAGTTAAATGTTTTCAAGAAAACAGCCATATCAACTTTTTCAAGAAAACTTGTTTCGCAGTCTTAGTAGTTAAAAAAAATTGTGCATGCATTATATTTTCCTCCATAAGTTACGAAATATTTATCTAATTGTAATTTTTTTTCGTAAAATCCACTTTTGAAAATATTTATTTAAAATCGATTTTGTAAAATATTTTTGTAAGTATAATTAATCCCCTTAAATTCATTATATTATTAATATATATATTATATTATTCATTAATTTTTAAGTAATTAAAATTTCATATCAATTTTTTTTATAGGTGATGACTGCGGACGATATAATTAACGAACTTTATATTACTTATCTAAATGGTGTTGTTATTGGGAATTATTTCAAGAGGTCCACCTTGATAGTTATATTAGTACATATCGACAGTATCGTGAGAAAAAAACGTTACATGCCCAGAACTAATTACGTACAACTAATAACAACTTTGCTGAGGACGATGTCACTACTAAGGGAATGCGAACATTTTTCAAAAACCGTGATGGATGATCCAATACGTCTCACAGTTAACATATTGAGGAGTTTGTTATCCTCTAATGTATTGACAGATGAGCACCGCAATGTAATATACTTAAACGGCCTGGAGCCGCTTGGGTTGACTAAGATATGGCCTGCTATGACTACATTGGAAATAATCGAAGAATACGAGGAACGTTGCTTGATTGTGCATCAACAATTACGCAGGGATCCGCGATGCCATCCTAAATTGCGCAGTTATGCGCAATCTTTCAAACTCGATCGAGAGGCTTATATACGTCATATGATAATGCACAGCTTGGACGTAGAGTATAATGTATATGCGACCAGTTTGACGGTGACGTTCTTTTCCAATTTTGGTTGGGCTAACCAAATGATTGCGTATGAAAATGTAATGCGTATCACAGCTGAAACATCGTTGATCGCCCTGATGTATGTCGAAACGTTTTCCGAGAACATCTTTCTTCTAATGTTATTTGGCATCGCACAATTTTCCTGGAACATCGAAAGTGTGATACCTCGGGAAGTAGTCCGTCCGATTTTTCTCAAGACTCTATCCTCCATGAAACCTATAGTTGGTAGAACGCGCTATGGCTTTATGTACAATTATTTTCTCAAACGTATTCAAAAAGAAAATCTATCTTTACCGACAAAAATATATTTCAATGAGATTTGCGGATGGATACATTTACTGCAATTTAAATGCGTGCCTCGGAAGCACGCTCTAGACTGCACAAACTGGTAAGTAAATATAACAATATATTTTTTCTTCTGAACTTATAGTGCTTATAAATAAGTTATTATAAAAATCTTTCTTCTGTTGTTTCCATTTTTACTCTCATTTTACTTGGTTTTCATTTTTATCATTGTTTATTATTCAATTCAAAAAATGTAGATATGAAAACAAGCATTTTCAATGCTTCATATAATCAAGAGAATATTTACGCATTCTAAAATAATATAGTCTTAAATAGTTTTTGTGACAGATTTAATCGGATTTGTGAAGAGATGTAATTTTTTTCTCTAATTGAACGTCTATTTCATCTCTATTTCTATTACATGCTTGTTTTTTTTTAATTTGCAACTTGCGATGGAGTTGCAGGCAATTTAGCAACTCTAAATAAAGTTGCATGAATTTAAATACTTGAACTATTAAATATCATTGTATAAAAAATAAAATGTGTGATATGTAATATTGTGATGTGTAATATGTATATATATATTTCAGCACTTGTGATAAAAGTTCATATTGCGAATATCATAGTTTCCTTATTAAGAACAAACTTGCAGCGAAGTATAACGCATACTTATTCGTATGCGAATGCATCAAGTTACCTATGATAACAGACACATTAGACAAAACAGGAATCCATCATTGCTATGACCGACTACTACGCAAATTATGCCGAAATGACAAATTAGCGTAGACCTTATAAGTATATGAACTAGCAACAAGTATAAGATCGTATCCGTTACTTTTCTCTGTAAAAGTGGCCGAAAGTACGTTTCGCACACATCGTGACATTTCGCTGACACATATTATACATTGAATGTATTCTGATTTCTGATACATACATTTTCATTATGCTCGCATAAGTTGTATCACAGCATCAATACACCATATATTTCCATGACAGGCACCATGTATACCCAGGTAGAACATAGAAGCAAATAATATCATAATGACGGCAATTTTTACATTATTTGTAACTTATAAGTGATATAAATAAAGTCATATATGACATCCTTATAATATATAACTTTATAATGATATCATTATGACTTTTGTGTTCTATCTGGATACTTCTGAATACTTTGAGAAAAAGAAGTTAAAAAGTGCGTTTCTTTTTCCAATTTCCTCCCGATACTTTGTTTCTTTGAAACTGTTGCAGAAATTGTTGCAATAGTTAGTCTATACTTATAAGGTCTATGCCAATTAGTTTCAATAAAATATGAACAAATATTTGCGTATACTGTATTTGGAATAATTTTATATAAGATAAACCGGTACTATTTTTCCGCAATGTTTTAATTAGAATATAACTTATCTTCTTTTATAGTGATATATTTTATAGTTATATTGAAGCATTTTTAATGATATTTATTCTTTTGCATGCAAGAAATCGAAAAAAAAACTGACAATGAGTAAATAAAAATTAGTTTTTTTAGTTTTTGTATAATAGCGATACATAGTCATTTTTTATGGACTATGTTTTATATTGATTACTCGGTATTAATTATTCTCACGAAATTACATGTTATTGATAAGTTTAAAAAAATTGTTTAATAACTTGATAAGACTTTAATAATTTTTAATAACAAAAATTTTTTCTGTGTTATTAGTTATTAATTGAATATTTATAGTAATCTACATACACATTTGTATATTCTACCAAAATACGTACATCTTTTTCTAATAACGCACAAAAACTTTTTTCAAAAAATAGTTCTTCAAAAATTTTCAAGTCTTTTGAGCGAACTTCGCAAAACTCCTGAAATTATTTTTTGAATTATACATATATCTATTGATCTATAATATCTCTATAAACACTGTATCTTTATTTACAATGATTTTCCAATATAAATATGTGCAACAAACATTGTAACAATAATGCATATAATTTTGTGTCCATTAAGTATTTTATATGCATTAATATTTTCGTTGTAAATCCGACATTAAATCGACGCATAATTAATGGCTGAATTATTGATTTAGAATTCATATATAAAATAGGCATTAAAATCCAGCCTCGACCGTAGAAGGCGTTCTTAAATTTTTTTGTGATATTCTCTTAAATGATCTAGTTCAAATTATTATTACTTGTATGTTTAATACTTTTCTTGTAGATCGAAATTTTTATAAAATATTTAATTTCTCTACAGAAAGGAAAACCATTGCGAATAATTGTTTATTTTTGAAAAATTACAATTTGGATATTATAGTTGGATATTATATATTATATAATAGTTTTCATTGCTTTCTTTGATATCTATAACAATTCATTTACACCTCAAAAATGTATTTATTTTCATGTGTATATCAATTATGTGATATTAATTATTAAATTATAATTAATTATGTAATTGCACATTTTTCGAGATAGATATGTAAAAAAAAGAAAGCAATGAAAAACTGATCAATTATACAAAATAACTATTCACCATTCGACAATTTTCCGCCGTCGAGAAAAAATTATAAGTGAAAATCGAACCTGATGCTACTTTATATATTTAAATAATATAAATATGTATGTATGTATATATATATATATATATGTACACGTTCGAGTATTATTGGATTGACGATTGATTAATAAAATACACATAAGATTATATAGAAATAAAATATAAAAGAATTTTATTTTAAGTGTAAGCTAACATTAGCCAGTCATCAAATCTTTTCTCAATTCTGCATAAAAAATAAATTAAAAAATTTATTACTACCTGGCTGATACGTTCTAAATTATTACTGGTGCAATAAGTAAAATACATTTTAACGACTTTATTGTTAGTCGATAATTGTGATATTAAATAAAATTACAAGGCACTTTCAAAGTCAATCACATATCGATCGATTATGTTTTCAAAATACTTGATACAGGCGGACTCGAGGCTGCCGATATCATTGACTCGGATAAATTTAAACATCTGCAACGAAAATCTATAAAATACATAGCTGATCGTTTTAAAAATTTTAACCGCCGTCGTTACAAACAGTTTATTTAGACTTATTTACCGAGCGACACGAATTCTGACGACCATCTGTGATATTTCAATGATGATCGTCATCGCTGTTGTTCGTATACCAGGCATGTATCATAATTTCGTTTAAACAGCAACAAAAATCGACGATATTCCGAATGCCGATGACGATAAAAATTGGACTTCTGTGTTTTAACTAGACTGTATGACGTAAGAAATTCGCCAATTGGCTTATAGACATCTTTCAGTGATAAAGAATTCCGAAAGAGATATATGAAGAACACAATGTTTATCAGTGATTGTTTATGACGACGGAGATATTTTCAAGAAGAAAAATTGTTTAAATAGAAAGTCTTGGTAAGCAAAATTTGCGTGCTCCATTAGGGGAGAATCTCATGTTATAGCTTCTTATTATATTTATTCAACATATTATATAAACGCTAATTATTATTTATCGTTATTTAGATATATTTGACTAATAGATATATTTGTATATATGTACATATGTATCGGACGCTATTCGATTGATTAATAAAGTACGCATGCAAGAGTTTGGAAATATATTATTAAAAAAAATTTTATTCAAAACGTGTAGACGAAACATCGAACATTTCTTCTTAATCACATATTAAATTTTACAATTATTAAATCGAATTAATTCCCTATTTAGTTTCCTAATAAAAATTCCATGTCTTCACAGGGATATTATATTCTATGTTTCAAAGTAATAATTTAAATTGATTTCTTATAAATAATTTAAGTTTTAATACTTCCGTTCTGAAAAATTGATAATGAATATTATGAAAAGAGATAGCTTAAATTCTATCTAAGCGTTAAATAATAGCATCAGATAATACAATTTTGGTCGCACGAGAAAAATTACGTTATGAGTACAATTACTCGCGTAATTCGATTGAACATTTAAAAAATGTATATTCTAGTAAACTAACAGTAACATATTATAATCAATATTATAATCAGAAAATATATGTAATAAGTCATCAAAAAAGTTCGCAAAACCTAAAAATCATGTCCATTTCTTATTTATAATATGCACAAGGCAGGCAAAGGATTTATTTTTTTAGCGAATTGATATCAAGTTCAAATTATTGCGGGTGCTAAGAGTTAAATTTGTTTAAACGTTCTTTGTTATAAGCAAATCGTGATATTTGACGCGTTGAATAAAATTCTAGATCGCTTTCAAGGACGAGAATTATGTACTGCCATGTCGGGATCGCACGTGTTTTCAAAATACATGACACAGGCGAGTATGAGTCTGCCTTCGATACTGCTGGATTAGGTAAGTTCGAGCATCCGTATCAAATAATCTTAAATATTGGCATACAAAAATGTCTAAAAATCATAAAAATTCTAGGCCACTCTGCTGTAAATTGTTCAGTGACACGAATTCCGTTGGTTGCCTGTACTTCAATCATTGATCTACATCGCTGCTATTCCATATATCAGACGCTGCTGACCATACGTTATACGTATCATAAATATCACAGGTTTGTGTAACAATAACGAAATTGACGTTTTCTGTTTTCTGAATAATAAGATAGAAATCTATTTCTAATTTCTGTGTTCTAGTCATAAACTATAGTCATAAGCAATTTATCAATTATCGTCTTACCAGCAATAAGAAATTCTAAAGGATATTTGTCGATAAAAATAGAATATCAGATTGAGTATGACGATGAAAAAGACAAATTTTGAATGACAAAGAAAAATAAGAAAAATAATTCTCTAAATAAGAAATCTTAGTAAAATCGAAATTTATGCATGCTATATATTATAGGATTTATTATGTTATACATTCATATTATATTATTTAATATGATAAATAATATATCTCATACTAAATATTACTGTTATTATAATATATTATCTATTTATCATCATTTAAATAGAGAGAAAGAGACAATCTAGTTCAACTTCTATTTTCCGATAATTATTTCGTTCTAACAACACCCATGGAAGTTCTATTTCATTATTGACTGTCCACGACACATAAAGTGGATTCCACTTGAATAATCCCTGACATCGATTCCGCGTATCTATTTTCATCGGGTTAAAATTAGCTATGTACTAAAATCTCTTTTTCTTTTAAATTATTTTATCAGGTTCTTGTTCAAGATGAATAAATTTATGCATCAGTTTCATCAGGATATGAGAATTTTTTTATTACAACAAGAGGAACAGTACGGGGAATTGAAACTTCTCTCGTCTCACGATACGGAGAGAACCGCATGTTTCGACAAAGTAATAAAAAATATTATTGACTTTTTAATAAAGCGTCCAGGATTCCAGATGTATAACATTAAGATATTCATTGAAGACGTCAATCTTCAAACAAGAAGACATATGATGCCATTATTCACCGAGCATTACAATTATTTTCTATTGAATACAAATTTTTCCTCGCTGCATCTCCTCAGGAAAGATTTGATATTCGGTCCTATAGTTGGTTCGTGGCCCCCTCTATCACCTTATCTCTTCATACAGGTAATTAATAATAATCATATATTAAGATTATTAATAATTACTAGTAAATAACATTGACTTTCTGATTACATTACAAATATAAGACAATACAATTAAACACTACTGTTTTAATACCATATTTGACTTTTTATTTTCGAAGTTACACTATCTATATATAGAAGTAGTTGATGTTCTTACATAAAAAATTTTTTACCAGGGAGATGATTGAAATTATATTATCTCTATTTCTTCTATCACTACAATTCTAATAGTTCATAAAATATTATTATAAAAAAGATCTCTTTTTTTATCATTTGACACCATATTTTCGTGATAATCGAAGCATATTTTTTCGTTTTCTTGTTATTTATTGAAATCGACTGTCTATCGCCTTATATTCTTCTCTCTCTCATAATTATATAATATACATTATATAATTATTAATATAAAATAATGTATTATAACTATTAATATTTTTTATTTATGTATTCTATATAGATAATATGGCATACGCACTGTGAGGATTTATTGATTGAATCGCTTATGCACATACCGTTGGATT